CATGTTAATTCTGTTCATGATACAGCACCAATATTTTCTCCCCAGGTAAAATATTAATGGCTCCCCATTAATATTTTAACTTTGTCAAAAGTTTTTTGCTGTGTAGACCTTTCAAATTTTATGTAATGAAATCTGTCCTGTTTTTGACTTGAGTTCCCTGACCTACTTAGGAACGCCCCTCCTACCCCAAGATTTCTTTTTAATCCTCCTATACTTCTTAGGACTTAAGATTTTAAAATCCTTTCTCTTTTTATAGCTTCGTTGTGAAGCAACATATCTTTTTCTCAAGAAGCTCTTTAGTTTTTCTTGATTTAGATGGGTTCAAAAGTTTCCTCGGCACAATTTCTTTAAAATGAAAGAAAGAGCGGGGTTCCTGTAAAAACCGGAGCCAACTCTTTTTGAAAGCACTTACTTTGTTTACAGAGTATGTTTATAAGTTGAATAACTATGCAACCACACTCTCCAAATAGAAGTTCTAATAAATCCTAACACACTGCAGTACACTGAGGAACACAATTTTCTCCCTAAGGCCCTCTTTACTCTGCTCAGTGAAAACAGCAAACAAAAAGCCTCAGTGTTCAGTAGGAAACCGAGCTCTTCAAAGCAGGTAAAAATCCTGTTTACTCCTTCCAGAAAGCAGAGGAGAAAGGGTTTTCAGATTGTAAATGACAGAGTTGCCCTTGTGTAGCACAGGGCAATTTTGATAAGGCTCTACTTCTTCAGGGCCTAAATTATGAGGACAGTGAGACAACACGACTGAAAATGAACAAAAAGAAAAGCTTTAGCTTTGACGCAAGAGAATTACATCAGGCCTTGACAAAACGTAAGATTCTTTATAAAACCTTCCTTTCAGCAGGCTTTTCACTATCTGTGACAAAACATTAAGTGAATAGCAGTAAAAAGGATACATGTGGTTTCGAAATGCCACAGTTGAGCCAACTGCAGTTGCCAGCGTCCATGGTATTGGAGACCTGACCAAAAAAGACTATAGGGAACGGAAGGTTTTATCTGCATCACAAAATACTCTCGCTGTCAAATATAAGATAACTTTGTTAAGTTCCTGCTTGACAGTGCCCCCGGCGACAAGTATTCACCTTGTCTGAGTCTCCCGGCCGGGTCATTAAAGGTGTTGAGTCATCGGGTACAATGATCATGCGACATAAAGATTATTTGATGACGGAGATCGCAGGGGGCTCAAGTGCCAAGGTAAACTGCTGGAAAAGACGACCGTGGTTATGACTTGGGGTAGAAGCAAGCAGGTTTGAGGCTGAGACACGGTTCCAGTCCTAAAAGAATTGTATTTTAAGTTTGAGGCAAACTTCCAGCCTCCCATGTCACGTGTGCACTCCACAGTAGTTTTAAGAAACAGGGTTTGAAGCGCTATCCCTTTCCCACCCCCGGCTGAGTCCACCCACGCCTCCTTGGTCCGTTCTCCCCCTCCCCCGCACAGGAGCGCCCCGCCATTCATCAACCGGTTCACACCGGCAGCAGCCGCCGCGCAGTGACGTCTGCCGGAGGCGGACTTCCGCCCCCGCTCAGCAGCGCTAGGCGGGGGCCCCCGGCCGTGATTGGTAGCTGGGGCTCCGCTCTTTGCGCCGGCTATAAAAGGGAGGGTGTGTGACGCAAAAGCGCCTCGGCGCGCGTATTGGCTCCGTCGACTGCGGGCCGGCTCGGCTACGCTCGCTTCTCGGAGCCGTTCACTGCATGGTAAAGTCTGCTACCGCCGTCGCTGTCTGCAAAGACTTCGCCGCGCCACCACGACCGCCGCCGCCCCCTGCCCTGCAGCCGCCGCCACCTCTGCCATCTGTGTCGCCGCCGCCTCGGGACCGGCTGTATGGTTAGGCCACAATCTTCAATGAGTAAACATATTCCTGTGAGTATCCGTCGTACCACCGCCTCGCTGCCGGGACTCCATGACCGCCCCCCTCCCGTCCCCGCCGTCGCCTTTGTTCAGTGCCCGGCGTCCGCTCCACGGCGCCCCGGCCCGCAGTTTCGGTGGGTCTGTGGCGGGAGGGGGCCAGACTGCCGACCTGTGGTCGGCCGGTGGCAGCTAACTGCCGGGAAGCGGACGCTGGGGAACCCAACAAACGGCGGGCGGTTGGCCTCGGAGGCACGGGCGACCTCGCCCCTGTCGAGCCCGGGGCGGTGGGGTTGGTAGCGCTAAGCCAGCGCGGCGGGCGGGGGCGGTAAATGCCGCCGCAGAGGGCCGGGCGGGGCGGCACAAAAGCGGCTTTGTGACTGCCGCCCCCACCCTTGGCGACTCTGGTCCGAGCCCGACGGGCTCCAAGGCATCCCGAGGCCCCCTTTGTTTGCCCGAAAGAGAGCGGCCCGCCCGGGGAACTGGAGACGTGGCCCGGGGTGGGGCGAGGGCTGCGCGTGTCACTGCGGACTCGGGTACTGGCTGGGCGCGGCGGCGGCGTGGTCGCCACCAGAGCCGGCCGGCGTGGGGTAGGCGGGGCTGCTCACAGTCTCAGCCGGGAGCTCTTGGGGGGCTAGCGCGGGACAGAAGCCGTGTGAAGCCACCTTTGTGCTCCACGGTCGGGACCCGCGCCTCAAACAAAATGGCCTCGGCGTCCGCGCCTGACTGAAGGCGCGGTGCGAACCCGTGATTGCGGCGTGGAAAGGGGGCGCCACGGGCGGGCCCCGTGTGCGCGGTGTGAGCCGAGCGGACACTATCGGGGGGCCGTCCACGAGCTGCAGCCCTGCGGGGACTGGAGCGAGACTGTTAGGTGAGAACGCCGACTCCCTGCCCCGCCTTGCTTCCTCAGTCGCCACCTGGTAATTCGAGCTCTTCCAGATTTAACACCCCTCTTTGAGCTGTGGATAAAGGGAACAAGTTGAGTCTTGTCCTTTTCTCGGGGCAAGTGGGTCGAGAAATGGCCTTGGAAACATCCAGGGCTACTGTTGCACGGAAGCGAGGGAGTCCCCGGCCGGGCACCAGCACGCACTTTCCTTGCCAATCTTGGAATGGCCCTGGATGGCGCCTGTTAATCGGGGACTGTTCCTGAACTCCTTGGTGTACTGTGTTATCGCCTCCTGTTGACTTGTGGCAACATTAGCCAAACAGAGCCGGAATTTCTAAGGTTTGTCTTTCTGTCCATGGAAGCCTCTTCCATTCCAAAAGTATTAAATTGTTATTTGCGCTGTAATTGTCGACCTGCTTGGGATCCAGATTCTGAGGCAGAATTTTGTTTAATGGCAATAAGCTGAAAACCGAAAGGCTAGATCATCCTCGAGTGCAGGCATTATTTCATAACATGGCTTTTTTCTAGATGCATTTCCTAAAGCATAAGTAAATGTGGGACAAAGTCTTCAACGAAGTATTTACAAAGTGGTTATACAGATTGTCTCTTTGCAGTCTGACAAGCTAACAGACAGAACTTGTTCTTTTCCGCCGTTTGTTTTTGTGATTATATGCTACTCATAGATGAGAGGGAGAGATTCCCTGGTATTTCCGAATTGCCTGTTTTAAGACTGGAAGAGAGGCGATAGGTATCAGTAGTCACTGCTGCTTAAGTGGAAGTCCCTCCCATCCGCTGGGTGGCTCCACTCAGTAAAAATAATCAACTCACTAAGTAGATTATTTTTATATTGCTTTCTCTGCTTTCTGAGCAACACGAGGGGTTGCTCAACTGCAACAGAAATTTTAGCTGTTACTTATGGATATAATGGTATGAAATAGTCTTACTCATAAATTAGCTTACAGTCGTAAAAAGATAGTACTTGGAAATCGGAATACTAAGAAGTTGTTCTTCTTAATACTTCACAGAGTCATTGCCCTTTACAAATACTTAAATTTAGGGTATGTCATCAGAAATATGCAAGAAGACATTTATATTCAAAGGAAGTAATATTTAGGATTTGAGGTGAGATTATATACTTGAAATTATTTCCAGGTTACTGCAGTCTGTTTGCTATAAGAGCAAAATCCTTAATGATAATTTAGTCACTAGTTTTTTAACCCAACTAGCAAGTAGGTGAAGTAACAATCTCCAAGGGCTCATTTGAACAAACTTGGAATAATAAAACTTATCTTTCAGAAGGACCTTTCGTTCTACTGTTTGACAGAAAAATGAACTGGGTCTGACTTGCTATATCTTTCTGTGATCTGCTAGATTTTCATGTGGGTTATTCTTAAAAATTTTTGGAAAGTTCTAGAAACTATAACATGGGACTCTTTTAAGGTATAAAGTGAAAATAGTAGCAGACCTTTTGAATTTAATTTTAAGACATTTAAATGCTTATATTTAAGTATAGAAAATTAATGGAAACATGTTGCAAAATTTTATTTTATTTGGTAGTTTACCCGTAAGAGTTCTCTGTATTAGATCATTAGATTGGTAATTTAACCATTTTAAGTAATTAATTTGTGAATGCTTATTTTATGCCTATTGATTAAATTATAATTATCCTTGTATTTTGTAGTTCTGGTAAAAATGGAAAAGGTAGCTCAGACCCAAATTTGAAAAAGATGGTTGTATACTTAATACTTTAAATACTTTAAATACATAACCTTTTGCATTGGAAAACAACTTTTTCTCTCTTTTTCTTTTAAACAGCAGTTCTGTGGTGTTCTTGGTCACACATTTATGGAGTTTCTGAAGGGCAGTGGAGATTACTGCCAGGCACAGCACGACCTCTATGCAGACAAGTGAACTGTAGAAATTCATTACTGCTCCGCCAAGAAGCCCCCATAAGAGTGGTTAACCTGGACACAGAGTGTTGAATTGAAATCTGCAGAGCATTTTACAAGATTTCTGACCTGGATGGGGTAAACCTCAGTGCACTTCCTTTCTATTGCCTCAGTATTACTGGATTGAAGAATTGCTGCTTCTTGTTAGGAGGTTCATTTCATTTCCCATTACTTCCAACTTCATACTCAAAGCACTGAGAATTTCAAGTGGAGTATATTGAAGTAGACTCAGTTTCTTTGCAACATTTCTGTATTCAATTTTTAAATTCTTTCATAACTGCATTGAGTGTTTTTTAACTAAATTAACATGGCTCGAATGAATCGCCCAGCTCCTGTGGAAGTCACATACAAGAACATGAGATTTCTTATTACACACAATCCAACCAATGCGACCTTAAACAAATTTATAGAGGTAAGGTTTGATACTTTTTGATTGTTTAACCTGGTTGCAGTTTAATAGTGGGGCTTTTTGTCTAACAAAATACTTCGGAAAATTATGAGATGTACATGCCTGCATTTTGTAATTTCCAAAAAATGTAATGTCTTCCTTAGGTTGTAAAGGTAATTTATTTTACACATTTCAACAAGGACATGTACTTGACTTACTTAGTTTAGGTTTTAAGTTAACATCTTGTTTTTGTCTCAAGTTTTCTTAATTTAAATTTGTGTTTAGACAAAAAGTAAATTTGTATGAGGACAATGTAACAGTACGGTTCTTGCTTACGTGAAATTTATAGGATTAAGGCTGATATGTTCACCTATCAGCTTACCAAATTGGATAATATCATGAGCAACAGTTACTTTATGTCTTGGACTCCAGTTGATGCCTACAATCCAATTTTTGGTTACTAATTCTACTTCTCCCTGGTGGTTGCTAGATAGCCAAAACTGTCTCACTGCCTATCTATTTGGACTATAAGGAAGGAATGTAATGCTGAAAATTTTATTTGGATGTATACATCAGTTTATGTGTGTAGATGCTCAGAAACAACAGTTAGGCCTTCCAGATCACAGAAATACTTGTGATAACAATCTGTATATTTTTAAAAGAAGAGTTAAGATTTTAGTAATAATGCATTACAAATCTTGTAGCCTATAGTTTTAATGGGTTTTAGTATACTTTTAAGGCTCTAAATTACACATTTTACTGCAAATGAGCAAAGTTTAAACACTTAAGTCATGAGTGATTCCTTTGGTTCTGTTTACGTTTACCTTTATCTCTGAGTTGCTTCTAAGCCTGTTTTATTTCCCCAACTATCCATGACTATAAACGACTTAGGTCTATGAAATGAAAGGCCATGGGGATTTTATAATATTCCCTTTTCCTTTCATGCTATTCTAGTGTTGTCACTTAAAACAAGATTTCACTTCCTTGTTAATGATTTTTTTTTTAACTGTCATACCTGTGGGAGAAATGATCAAAATGATAAATGGTGATATCGTATGAAGACTTCATTGAGTATTTTGTTATATGTGTTTCTCCAGGAACTTAAAAAGTATGGTGTTACCACAATAGTTAGAGTATGTGAAGCAACTTATGACACTACTCTTGTGGAGAAAGAAGGCATCCATGTTCTTGTAAGTATTTAATAATTTCTATGTGTTTATACTGCACTACAAGTACTACAAAAGTATTCATGTAAACCATAGACTTTAAAAAGGTTGATTTTTTAAGTTTTATTAAAATTTGAATATCTGAATTTCAAAATAAAAGTGAAAGCTAAGCAGGGATTTGAAGTAACAAGATTTTTAATAAAGATTAAGCATTTGCATGTTGATGCATTTGAAAATATTTGAGTGAAAGAAATTTTAGAATTATTTGTGTATTTATATTAATCTAAAATGCTTAAATATTCTTTTAGGATTGGCCTTTTGATGATGGTGCACCACCATCCAACCAGATTGTTGATGACTGGTTAGGTCTTGTAAAAATTAAGTTTCGTGAAGAACCTGGTTGTTGTATTGCTGTTCATTGTGTTGCAGGCCTTGGGAGGTGAGTGAATTTTTTTTAAATTGGTTTTAGGGTGGGTGGAAGGAGGGAGAGAGAGACATCAATTTATTGTTCCACTTATGCATTCAGTGGTTGATTCTTGTATGTGCCCTTGCTTGGGAATTGAACCCTCAATCTTGGTACATTAGGTCAACACTAACCAACTGAGCTACTTGGCCAGGGCAGTGAGAGAATTTCTTAAATCCAGTTGATGATTCCGGTTTTTATTTTAGTAAAAACTTGATACTCCAGTAAAAACTAAGATATCGCTTCATGAATCAATTTGCTTTGTTATATTACTTACTGAACTACATTTAACAGTAGGTGATTATAACAGAATAATGTATTTTCCATTATAGCTGGGACTAACATGCTATAGATGGAATTTATGCTTGACTCTGGGCAAAATTAATTGTAGTATTGTGTGTTTTAGGTTACATTTGTGATACTGGAGTCATTTTCCAAGCTTTATTGGGGAAAAGGGTCTTTAAGTTAGTTTGCATATGGTGTATTTTTTGATAGGGTCCGTGATCCTAGAGATTTCTAAATTCAGTAGGACTTCATTTGGCATTACCCAGAATGCCAAAATATGCATGTCCAGATTTATAAATCACTTACAACCACATTATTCCTTTACTGCCCACCAAAAAGTCCTGGTCTCCTGGTGAGTAAAGTGAAAATGGCCCTGGGAATTTGTAGTGCAGTTGTGTCACGGTTTCATTGATAATAAAACAAAGCAAATTTCCAGAAGATCTTCAGGAATGGAGTTTATGACATTTAAAAACATTTTCCATTTTTTTGAAATGGAAAATAGTTTTTACTGCTTAGAATTTTGGGGAAAATTGTCTGTAATTATCAAAATATACCATCTCACCTAAATATTTTCATGATTCCCTTCCAGTAATACAAGTTTTCACTTGTAGACTTAACAGTAGTTAAGGGCATAGTTCATTTTTGGTTCCAGATAAAACCAGGCTTTGATACGAAAATACTAGTACTTGAAAGTCAGCATTTACTGTACATACTACTTACAGGATGTGTAGTGAAGAGTATATATTGAGAAATGTTTAGAATATTGAGTTTTCCAGGATTTTATTTTATTTTATTTTTACTTATTATTTTTTTAATGCTTTATCGAAATTCTTGCTTTACCAGAGCTCCGGTGCTTGTTGCCCTAGCATTAATTGAAGGTGGAATGAAATATGAAGATGCAGTACAATTCATAAGACAGTAAGCATTTAATGACTTTTTTCTTCATTAAATGTGAGTTTAATTATATTACTATGAAAGCAATTTTTTTTCCAATAACCAGTCTGACCATTTTTAACATGATGTTAGAACTAGGGGCGGGGGGGACTTTCCTCTTGTTTTCATTTCATACATTATATGTATGTCCATGTTTCTGCATTAAAACACAGTGTAATAATCAAAAGATGAATTGCCACAAGAGAGGTTATAATTGCCTATAGCACAGTGAATCATTATTATAGAGGGATTATGCCTTAATTACTTACATCTTTTGTTTTTTCCTTCCAGAAAGCGGCGTGGAGCTTTTAACAGCAAGCAGCTTTTGTATTTGGAGAAGTATCGTCCTAAAATGCGGCTGCGCTTTAAAGACTCCAATGGTCATAGAAACAACTGTTGCATTCAGTAGAACGGGTGCCTGATGCCATTGCTTTGGAAGTGGAACTTGAGATAGGACCTAATTTGTCATACATATTAGCCAACATACTGGCTTGGTAAATAAATCTAATGAAGCTTTCATAGGAGTACTGAAAAGCAGTTCTACCAGGCCACAAGCTCGACAGGATTACCACCTCTATGTTTGGGTTTCAGTCAGCCTATTGTTACACTTAACGAAAGATTCTTACCCTTCAGCTTTAAAATGTGCTTATCAGTTGTACCAGTTGACTTTTTCTGAAATCATGCAGTATTGAGTTATATCTTTAAATTTATTCCCATGCCAGAATTGTATCAATATATGAGATTTAGAAAGATTAGGTGCCAAAATGTCCAGCACTGTACTTGTATATTTTTAGTATCATACAGAACTAAAATCCCAGGAACTATGAACACTCTGGACCTTATGTGTTTAATCCCTTCAGTCATTTCAAACAAAGAAAGTAGGGCCTATCTGGTTATTTGCCTGCTCACTTTATGTTTACATCTCCCACATGCAAGTATACATCAGGTTTGCTCAACTTATTGATTTTTATACCAAGTCTTAGTGATTATTTAATGTCTTTCTATAAATATCATTTTGTGCTATTGTGAAAAGCCTCCATTTTGAAAATCTACATTGTACAGAAGCACATGTCTTTAATGTCTCCAGACAAAAAGCCTTACAGTTAATTTAATGTTTGCACTTGGGGTGCAACTTATAGGGAGGGCCTGAGAAAAGAACGGGAGGGGGGGCTATTGAGTATTTTTAGTAAAATATTGCCTTTGTCTTGTGTGGAATATGTAGAATAATGCTCTTTAGTAAATATTTTTTTAAAGGTAAAGGTAGAGATGCTTTGTTGTAGCTGAAACAATTCTTAATCATAAAAATTCTGAAATTATATTTGTTTTCATACATTCTGTTTACCAACTTTTGTTTGACGTGTGATTTTTTTCTTCCCACCCTCTCTTGCAAAAAAAAAAATGGGTTTCTGCTAATGAATTGAGCAGACATCTAATATTTTATATGCTTTTTGAGCTGTGTAACTTAATATTTGGATACTTGATCATTTGTTTTATTATGTAATTGATAAAATGGTGATGTGTATTAATGTTAGTTCAACCATATATTTATACTGTCTGGGAATGTGTGGTTATAGTTCTGTGGGAGAAATAATTTGTCAGTGTTCACCAGCTTGTAAAAAGTCTAGTGCGAGAGCTTAAACATCTAAATAAATAATGAAATGCATTTATCATCACTGACATTGTTTTTGCTTAAAGTTAACTTTAGAAAACGTTAAGACTGAATTGCATATTGCTTAGTACCATTTGAAATAAAAGTTTGTCTTTTTTTAACAAAGATTAAATGAAGTTAGCATTCTCGTAAGCTTATAGATGCAGTTTGTTAGGGTCATGAGAACTGTAAAGTGCTTTCCATTATAAGCTTTGCTTTTTAAAGGTTTAGATAACTGAACTATTGCGTACTATACTGTACTGATGAGAAACAGTATATAGTAGGGGAAGTCTTTGATTTTCACCAATTTCAACAATTAGTAACTGGTTAAGGGCAACTTCTGAGCCTCGGCTTTCTCATTTACAAATTAATAATTGTATAGGTTTTTAAAATTATTTTCAACAAGTATTTGGCACAAGAGGGTTTAACGTGTTAAAGCTTCTTTCAAAATCTGAAACGTCTTTTTGCGTACATAGTTTATGTTAATCTGAAAGGGACTGAAATCAGATATCCTTGTCTGATTCTTTTTTAAATAGCAGTTAAAACCAAATAAAAGACTCAAAATTTGAGTAGAAAACAATACCTTGTGTTTTCAGTATTTTACTTACATCTGTTCATGGCAGTTTAACACTTAATATACTCCATTCTTGAAACTTAGTGCAGGGCAAAAAGATAAGGGGGGGCAGGTATCCTTGGTTCTTTAAAACTTAAATATGTTGGACCTAAATTATTTAACCTAATTTTTTCCTCTTTTTTTTTTTTAACTACACCCTACTTTTTAAATTTATTTTAGGAGTGTGGAAGGGCAAAGAAAAACATCAATGTGTGGTTGCCTCTCACACACCCCCAACTAGGGGCCTGACCTGCAACCCAGGCAGGTGTCCTGACTGGAACTTGAACTAGAGACCCTTTGGTTCACAGGCCAGTGTTCAAGCCACTGAGCCACACACCAAGCCAGGGATAATACACCCTACTCTTGAGAAGAGAATTTTGTGTAGATTATTAAATGATAATTATCACATAGCCCATAAAAACAGCATTTGTTTTTATTGAGAGGAGGTGCCATCATTATTTAATGAAACATACTGAGTTTGAAACAGTTGGCAATTTTGGATTGTCTCTATCAGGCTAAAAATTTATAAACCTTATCTGTACAGTGATGAGGTTTGCTTTCTATCCAGATATTTTTCTCTCTTTTAAACGTGACTAATTTTAGGAATACTCACTCTGGGAGATTCCTTATATACAAGAAAGCAGAAATAAAAGTGGAACTTGTTCATAGGAAGTTACCAAATGCTGTTCTAAAATTTGGTTACCGGGTTTTGAACAAGTTTCTTCAATAGGATGATGTAAATAGTGACTAGTTGACAAGGTTTGTGTATAGGAACCATAGCATGTAAGTTACATGATTACTGAAGCAAAACATAAATGCAATCTTTTAGTTGAAAGAAAAACAAGTGCCACTGCCACTTTGCAGAACGCCATAGCCTCCCTTATTCCTAAAGCCCCGCTAGCCTAGGAAGGACAGTGCTTTTTCACACACACAGCTCCATGTCTAGAAGCAACCTAGCCCAAGCATGCAATCACATCTGGTCTCCCCCTTCCAGCCAGAGCACTTGAAAAGGATGTGGTTCCCCATCTTGGGTTCAGAATCTCCATCTCTGGGGTCTATTTTAAATCCAATTCAGATACAGTTCTGTGGCAGAGAGTATAAAAGATTTTGGTCACCAGTGAGCAGTACCCCAACGCCCTTTCTGTAAGAGAATGCTTTCTACTGAAGTTTCAAGCAGTGTGGTTGCGAAAAGAACTGGAAGAAGAGCAAAATTTCTTTACATGTAAATAATGAAGTTAGTTTTTTTAAAAAAATGTAGTGTTTGCTGTACATACTTACATCCCCTGATCCCTTGAATATGCTTCCTTATATCCAAATGAAAAAGGCTGATTTTAAAATGTCCAACACAACGTTTCTGCATTATGTTTGGGATAAATAGCCTAAGCAGAATCTTGCAAGGAAAGCTAAGGAGAATATTTGCCTTCATGAATTAAATTAGTTGTATACATTAAGTTTAGAGTGGAAGAACTAACAATAATTCTGTAATTTGGTATATATATTGCCAGACTAAACAGTTAATGTGTACTCCCGTATAAATTGATGATAATCCTTTATTCCAGTTTTATACATAAGGGATTTGAGCTTCCAGACAGATGACAAGCTGATAAGTGATAGAATTCAGGGATTTAAACTTTTGACTAACCACAGATAGGACTATATGTGCATGATCAGCTTTTATGTAATCAGTTAAAGCTTTTATATGAGTTTGACTGCTCTTGTAACTCATAAATCTCATTTAGATTGAACCTTCCTTGTATTTTTTCAGAGAAACATTTTTTGTAGTAAGGATAGGCCAACATAGACTACAAGATAACACCCACCTGAAAGTTAATTGGATTTATTTCTCACTTAAGCTTCATATCCATTTCGAGGACCCATGCTGGTTGATCATCTACTCTCTGAAACAGTGCTAGTTGTGACCCCAAAAAAGAACCTCGAGGTGGCAGGGGTGGAGTTTCTCACATTTAAGTTCTTGACTAATAAAGCATAACATTTCTGTTCAAGTCATTGGACAGAACTGTTCACAAAACACCCAGCATAGGGTATGCAGTCCTCTCATGTGCTGAGATAAGCCAGAGATACACTGCATTAGTAACTTACAACATCAGAGTTTTAAAAGTGGACTTATTTTTAAAAGAATATATCCACGGCCACATCCCTTGTAACTAAAATATCAAGCATAAAGGGACAAAGTTCCTATGCAACCACAATAGATGTCATGAAGTTTAGGCACTAAAGTGAGCTTATTAGGGATTAATAAGTTTGTGTTTAAGTATATTTAATCTTATTTCCAATATAACTTTAGCCAGCTCTGGTAATTTGATTCCCTGCCAGACTAGAGGTGGCAGTTAAAATGCAGAGCACAGGGGAGAGAAGCAAATGAGTAAGATGTACTGTGCTTGTCAACCTTATACTGAGAGAGATTATAAAACAATTCAAAAGGCACAGCCATTTGGGACACATCAATGCTGTGACTTAACAGCCTTCTGCTTAGATACCTCAATATCCAAAATACCTCAGGTCATCGATGTACTACACAGCACAGACGATGACATACGGCTAATTATCCTTAGTCATAAACACTACATTATATTTGGCTTTGTTTTAAGGCAGGGAATGTTATGATATGTTCAAGGGATGTTTTTAGATATCAGAAAAATGGTGCCAAGAATAATTAAGTTTGCCAAACATTAGGCTAAACTTAGATATTATTTACTGCTACATTACTTAGAACCTTTAATATGCTACTGTGAATTTGTAATCTTTCCAAGGAGTTAATATAATATTTAACCATTCTATAAATCAGCATCCCAGAAGGAAACAAATGGTACACTCACAGTGGATAACTGAGAAACATTTAATGGAGGAAAAGCAACAGGGAGAATGCAACATTGTTACCATCTCTAGGTCTAAAGATGCAAGGGAGGGGGAGCAGTTAACAGAATTGTAGAGAACAGCTAAACAGAGAACCAACTCACTGAAGCTGTGACGGTAGTAGAAAGACAGCCAATGAACTAGTGGCAGTCCAGCAGGAGGAAAGTAGGAAACCAGGAAATAAGTATCTATCCTCATATCCCATCCCCTTTAATGTTCTACTGGTCTCTTCCCCTCTCAGCTCCCCTCTTTAGCCAAACTCAAGAAGCAGGCACAGGACAAAGGAACCTATAGTATGTGCAGATCAGCCCTTTGGAAACAACAGGAGACTAGAGAGAAACAGAATGTCCTGTACAACAGTTATTCCCTTTTTTCCCCCACAGATGACTGGGACTATAGTGTACTGCAGAACACACTTTGGGAAAATTTGACATCCATTTATAAAGATAATCAAACATACACAAAAACACATTTTTCTAAAAGGTGACAATGGAAGAATCTACACTAACATGAAACTGCTCATTGAATTTCAATTTAAGTGTTGATTTGAGGGACAGTGGAGTATAGTTTTACCAACAATGGTAAAATAAACAACATAGTTCAATTCCCAGTCAGGGCACATGCCTGGGTTGCAGGCTGGTTCCCTGCAGGCCAGTTCCCAGCAGGGGACGCACAAAAGGCAACCATATGTTGATGTTTCTCTCCCTCTCACCTTCCCTTCCCCTCTAAAGATAAATAAAATCTTTAAAAATAATATAAATAAATAAATAAATAAACATAATGTCCATTTCACTTTTGACTTATGCGCTACAATCACAGAGTTGGTCATTTTTGCAAAAAATATTCCAAAGACATTTATTAACCAGTTACTCATCATTTTGTCTTGAAACTCATTCTATAGCATTCATATAAATTTTTCCTTTTTCTACTTTTATTTTGCTTTATCAGGTATTTTTTTCAGTTGGTAAAGAAGTCCATTAACTTTTTTTTACAATTTTATTTATTTATTTATTTATTTATTTATTTATTTATTTAGAGGGGAAGAGAGGGAGAAGGAATAGGAGAGAAACATCAATATACAAGAATTACATCCATCGGCCGCCTCTCGCACACCCCCAGCTGGGGGCCTAGCCTGCATGTGCCCTGACCCAGAATCCAACCAGTGACCTTTTGGTTTGCAAGCTGGCATGCAGTCCACTGACCCATGGCAGCCAAGGCCTGTTTCATTTCTTCCATAAAAAGACACTTTTCATTTTCACCAATAACTACTGATTTGGATATTTTAAATATTTTGGCTCTCCCATATGGTATAATGTTGATTGTTCTCTATGTCTCGATTTGATTGCTATCAAGTTCAACTGACCTACCCAACCATGGAGCATCATCCAGTGAGAAATCTCCAGCACAAAACTTCACAAACCACTTTTGACATGTTCAATCAGTCACAGCACCTTCTCCATACACTACACAAACTTTTTTTGTGTTTCGGTTGCGTTTTTACCTTTCTGAAGTAATAAAGCATAATATGCCAAAAATGT